AGGCCATAGCTGCGTTGGGGAAGGAGTCTGGAAGTGAAAAGAAACACTGGGCGGGGTTCAAGGGCGTGAGGTAGAGGTTATGAAAGCCCCCCCCCCCAGGAATGTTAAGCATGGAAGAATATTAAAAGGGAAAAAAAATTATATATATGTATATATATATATATATATATATATATATATATATATATATATATATATATATATACATACATGCATATATATATATATATTATATATATATATATATATATATATATATATATATACATATATACATATATATATATATATATATATATATATATATATATACATATGTATGTATATATGTGCATACATACATATATATATGTACATATTTATATATAATATATATATATATATATATATATATATATATATAATATATATATACATACATATATATATATATATATATATATATATATATATATATATATATATATATATATATATATATATATATATATATATATATATATATTATATATATATATATATATATATATATATATATATATATATATATATATATATATATATATATATATATATATATATATATATATATATATATATATTATATATATATATATATATATATATATATATATATATATATATATATATATATATATATATATATTATATATATATTATATATATATATATATATATATATATATATATATATATATATATATATATATATATATATATATATATATATATATATATATATATAATATATATATATATATATATATATATATATATATATATATATATATATATATATATATATATATATATATATTATATATATATATATATATATATATATATATATATATATATATATATATATATATATATATATATATATATATATATATATATATATATATATATATATATATATTATATATATATATATCTATCTATATCTCTCTCTCTCTCTCTCTCTCTCTCTCTCTCTCTCTCTCTCTCTATATATATATATATATATATATATTATATATATATATATATATATATATATATATATATATATATATATACTATATATATATATATATATATATATATATATATATATATATATATACTCTTTCTCTCCTTCTCTTCCTTCCTCTCTCTCTCTTTATCCTCCTCCCTCCCTCTCCCCCCCTCTCTCTCTTTATCCTCCTATTCTAAATACTTATGGTGGTTGCACCATCTAGTAGCGGCTTATCGAACTAATGAAGTATTTTATTTTTTCATCTTTATCTTTTTGCCTGAACCAAAAACTTCTTGAATAAACAGAAACCATGCTCCATTACACTCCAAAATAGAACATGAACTAAACACAAAATCGTAGCGAGACCTACAGTTCTTGGAACCTTGTTTCTTGTTCTTGTTCTTGGAGAAAACGACTACATGCGAATGGGATACACCGCAGAATGACACCAAAGAAGGGAACAGACGACATGGCTAAGGTCGTCCCCATTTCATCCAGTAATATATGGAGAAAGATCTGGATTACCGGGGAAGAATGACAATGAGAGAGAAAAATATACCGGGAATACTCGGAAAGCTCCATTGCTGGATGAGATACAAGGTGTAAAAGGTATTCCCTCTTTTCATTTTTTTTTCACAATTATTATTTTCAATTTGCGATATAGATATTTGTTTATACATGATAGTGTCCCATACGCCATACTTCATGTTCGGATTCTATCGGCCGGTTTGTTAAAATTGTGCCAGGCCCGATCCTATGAATTTTCATAAATACAGACGCAGAAATAAAGGCATACCTGTCTATCTGATAGATATACATTTAACCATCTATTTGCCGGGTTGATATACATGTCTAGACAGATAAATATGCATTTATTTCTTTATTTATGCATCAAGTATACGAATATTCTTTGGGTCGGGACTCGCGCAATTCCAACAAACGGCCGTATATCATTATTTACTTTCATCTGTCAAACGAATTGTCTCTCCACATCCGGCAGGCGCGTGGCCACGTGGCCTGTTATATGTGGGGTTGGGGGGGGGGGGTCTATATGATATTGGCGAAACGGGGGAAATGCATCTTAGATAAATATATGGAATTGCTAGAATTTTTTTCCTCCAATCAGTTGGCTGTTATGCCTTGGCCCTTCTCAGAAACAATCCTATTTGTGCAGGATAACAGCCCTATAGACACGTCCAGGGCAGTTACGAAGCGGTTCCACCGCCTGTGACTCAACCCGATGAAAATGTTTGGGCGAATAGCGTCAGTGTTTTGGAAGCGGCTTTCCAACAGCTAGTAAATTATGTGAAGAGGGAATGGGGAGTGTTAAGGAGAAAATCGAGACGTAGCATAAAACACGTCAACTCTGCTTTGGGGATTAGTCACGGTTTGGAAACAATGCATTGTTCTTATTATGATCATGACCAAAGCCAGTAATTGTTTTCCTTTTCGAGTTATTACCATTTTTTCTTTTGAAAATATACAACCGTGAAAATATTCCCAAAATCAATAAGCATCCCCAATTAGTCAATTCACTGAAGCCCCATCGCCCCCCCCCAAAAAAAAAAATACATATATATATATAATAAAATGGAATAAAAAAATACATACATACATTACTTATTAGCCACACGCTATGGTATTTTGCGCGAGAAAAGGTTCAAGATGTGTATGAAGTATCAAACTTAAAATCCTTAATTAAGTGTGGAGCTTACAATATATATATATATATATATATATATATATATATATATATATTTATATTTATTTATTTATAAATTCATATATTCGTCAATTTATTAGCTCACAGATTACATATAAGAACTTTGTTTTTGTGATAAAGGCCAAGTGAGCCATTTCCATTCTACGTATAAACAAAATGTGTCCGAAGGGCTAAGAAGTGACAGGGACGGGAAATCCCCGGCCCAAACGCAGCTGTCAAGCTAACACCCTTTTCGTGATGGACGCAAAATGAAATCACAAAGATAGACCTGTAAACAAAATAAAGGAAAATAAAAAAGCTGCGTGAATGACAAGTAATAGTAGAAAGCGAGATTAACTATTTTCTCAGAACCATTTTTTTTTTCTTCTTAAATATCTGACATCATACAGAACATGTATTGACAGTCGGGTCCTAGACTTTTGGAACCACCAAGCTTGTAGTTTATTTGTCTCTGTCATTCTCTCTCTCTCCGCTTTTCTGTCTGTTTCTGTCTTACTATCTTCCTATCCTGTCATTCTCTCTCTCTCCGCGTTTCTGTTTGTTCCTGTCTGACTATCTTCCTATCCTGTCATTCTCTCTCTCTCCGCGTTTCTGTCTGTTTCTGTCTGACTATCTTCCTATCCTGTCATTCTCTCTCTCTCCGCGTTTCTGTCTGTTTCTGTCTGACTATCTTCCTATCCTGTCATTCTCTCTCTCTCCGCGTTTCTGTCTGTTTCTGTCTGACTATCTTCCTCTCCTGTCATTCTCTCTCTCTCCGCGTTTCTGTCTGTTTCTGTCTGACTATCTTCCTCTCCTGTCATTCTCTCTCACTTCTTCCTCTCCTGTCATTCTCTTCTCTCCGCGTTTCTGTCTGTTTCTGTCTGACTATCTTCCTCTCCTGTCATTCTCTCTCTCTCCGCGTTTCTGTCTGTTTTTGTCTGACTATCTTCCTCTCCTGTCATTCTCTCTCTCTCCGCGTTTCTGTCTGTTTCTGTCTGACTATCTTCCTCTCTCTGTCATTCTCTCTCTCTCCGCGTTTCTGTCTCTGTCTGTCATTTATCTTCCTATCCTGTCATTCTCTCTCTCTCCGCGTTTCTGTCTGTTTCTGTCTGACTATCTTCCTCTCCTGTCATTCTCTCTCTCTCCGCGTTTCTGTCTGTTTCTGTCTGACTATCTTCCTCTCCTGTCATTCTCTCTCCGCGTTTCTGTCTGTTTCTGTCTGACTATCTTCCTCTCCTGTCATTTCTCTCTCTCTCCGCGTTTTCTGTCTGTTCTGTCTGTCATTCTCTCTCTCTCCGCTTTTCTGTCTGACTATCTTCCTCTCCTGTCATTCTCTCTCTCTCCGCGTTTCTGTCTGTTTCTGTCTGACTATCTTCCTCTCCTGTCATTCTCTCTCTCTCCGCGTTTCTGTCTGTTTTTGTCTGACTATCTTCCTCTCCTGTCATTCTCTCTCTCTCCGCTTTTCTGTCTGACTATCTTCCTCTCCTGTCATTCTCTCTCTCTCCGCGTTTCTGCCTGTTTCTGTCTGACTATCTTCCTCTCCTGTCATTCTCTCTCTCTCCGCGTTTCTGTTTGTTCCTGTCTGGCTATCTTCCTCTCCTGTCATTCTCTCTCCTTTTCTGTCTGACTATCTTCCTCTCCTGTCATTCTTCTCTCTCCGCGTTTCTGTCTGTTTCTGTCTGACTATCTTCCTATCCTGTCATTCTCTCTCTCTCGCGTTTCTGTCTGTTTCTGTCTGACTATCTTCCTATCCTGTCATTCTCTCTCTCTCCGCGTTTTTGTCTGTTTCTGTCTGACTATCTTCCTCTCCTGTCATTCTCTCTCTCTCCGCGTTTCTGTCTGTTTCTGTCTGACTATCTTCCTATCCTGTCATTCTCTCTCTCTCCGCTTTTTCTGTCTGTTTCTGTCTGACTATCTTCCTCTCCTGTCATTCTCTCTCTCTCTCGCGTTTCTGTCTGTTTTCTGTCTGACTATTTCCTCTCCTGTCATTCTCTCTCTCTCCGCGTTTCTGTCTGTTTCTGTCTGACTATCTTCCTCTCCTGTCATTCTCTCTCTCTCCGCGTTTCTGTCTGTTTCTGTCTGACTATCTTCCTATCCTGTCATTCTCTCTCTCTCCGCTTTTCTGTCTGTTTCTGTCTGACTATCTTCCTCTCCTGTCATTCTCTCTCTCTCCGCGTTTCTGTCTGTTTCTGTCTGACTATCTTCCTCTCCTGTCATTCTCTCTCTCTCCGCGTTTCTGTCTGTTTCTGTCTGACTATCTTCCTCTCCTGTCATTCT